TTCTTGACTTTCCTCAAGCTTAAGGAACATTATGGTATGAAGAACACATTAATGCATATGAAATTCTTTTGAAGGACACATGAACATAAAATCATAAAATTATAATAATAAATCTCAAATAGAAAACGTCTTACAAGGAACAAATTTTCACACATAAAATCCTGCTAGGAACAGCTTAACACAATTCGAAATCTTTAAAATTACCTCCATGGCTGGATCCCATGGTTGCCCTGCCCCCTGGTACCTGGCTGGAGGTGGCTCTGCATTTAATTCTGTGACTAGTGGAGCACCAAAGTTGACAGATTCCACTGGAGAAATGGAAAGAAAAAATGGATATAGATTTATCACTTTCTTGGGGGGAATATACATGTGTCTATGTATGTATGTATGTATGTATGTATGTATGTATGTATGTATGTATATATGTATATGTATGTATGTATGTATGTATGTATGTATGTATGTATGTATGTATATATATATGTATATATATATGTATATATATATGTATATATATATATACATATATAAATATATAAGTATATATATATATGTATATATATATATATATATATATATATATATATATATATATATATATATATATATATATATATATGTATATATATATATATATATACATATATAAATATATAAGTATATATATATATATATATATATATATATATATATATATATATATATATATATATATATATATATATATATATATATATATATATATATATATATATATTACCTTGCTATGACTTGGATACCTAAACAGCACTTTGTATGCATGTAAAAACAAATATGCCATCTAGACCATGCACAGCAAAAAATAAAAAGCAATACTAACAATAACAATAATATTGAAAGATAGCTCTAAACAGCACAAATCAATTGTTAAGAAAGAATATATGAAACTAAATGTATTTCTCAAAAATGTAAAACGGACATACAATAAAAAGATGACATGATATATGAATGCCATAACTTACTGTGCAGTTCTGACTTAGTTCTCTGCTTAGGTCGTGCAGGAGTTCTTGAGGTTATTCTCTGAGGAACATTTGTGACTGCCCCTTCCTCATCAATCTAGAAATATAAATTTAAAAATATGAAAACACATTACATAAAAAAGAAAGAGGAACTCTACACCAAATATCACTACACAACCATGATGTTTAAATTTCTAACACAAGGTACATTGTCTTCTAAATATAAATACTTAATTATGGTGGATAAAGTCCATGCAAAGCTTGTTTATACAAATCTCACTTCAGTGAAATGCACTTGAATTTCTCTACAGAACCTAAACTCACAATTGAACCATCACAGTAGTACCAGCTAAAACTGTTTCCTGCTTTCAATACATATAGTATTTTTTTGAAGATTAAGACAAAGAAATTCATTATTTAGCTAATAAGAGGATAATAAAACAAATAAGATAAGATTTCTTTTGCAATACTTCCATGCCTATTATAAAGGAAAATCTTAACACCCAAACAACTGAACCAATCTGTACCAAAATCAATCATTTTTTAACCTCGGCCAAGCTACATCACACAGAAAACAAATTAAAAATCCTCACCTCTAATTCAGGAGGGAATGAATGCTGTGGGTTGTGAGCTTTCTGTAACAATTCAACAGCCAGCCACTTGGGAAGGTCAGCCGCCACAAAAGGGTGAAGGAGTAATTTGTCGGCAGTTGGACGTCTCTTGGGGTTCTTTGTTAGACTCAGCTGGAAAATATATGAGGTTTAATCTAAATTTCTGTCTCTCTCTGTGTCTTACCTCTGTCTCAGTCTCTATCTGTCTCTCTCTCCTTTATTCCTTTCTTTATTTTTCTTTTCATTAGACTACCTTGTAGATCTATCTCCAGCACTGATTCTTTAGAAATACTTTATCTAGTCTTGTTTAAGCTATCAGGAAGAACTTCAAAACTAGTGTGCCAAAAGATTATTCATTTCAGGTGACATTCGTTTGTTATGACACTAATTCATGCACATACTACAAATTGATAATCATTGTATATATTCATACAGGGGGGAAAATTACAAAGGACTCAAGGAAAGAAAAAAGCACTCCTTAATTACTTACTTTAACAAAATGATGAAAATTTTGCGTCCACTTTGCCTTGTCTTTTAACGTTGGGGGCTTGAAGCCACTCTTGGACATGAGAAAAAGGGCACGCATTGGATGAAGGTCAAACATAGGTGGTTGGAGTTCAGCTAACTCAATGGCCGTAATTCCAACAGCCCAAATATCACAAAGTTGATTATAGCCACCCTTCCTCTCCACTGCTGCAACCTGGGGAAAAAAATATTATTTTCATTGAGCAGGCAGTCAATAAAGGAAAAGTTATGTGCATATGACAAAAACTTTTCAGACAAGAGATCCAGAACACCTATTGTCATAAACCCCTACAATCTGGATGACTTGACCACCACAACAATAAAAAATTTGGCTCAAGGGGCAGGTGATAAGAACATGCCATCATG